GATCTTGGTCTCCTCAGAGCACTAGCTGACATGCTGGCTATGCTGCCTCATTCCTTCCTTGCCCTCTTCTGGATGATTTCATCTTTTCCTTTGATTGTGACATCCTTGGGAGAAGCAATGTTTGTACAATTCTTAGAACAAGTCCTTATCTGTGTGGAAATAATATCAATAATAAATGACATTTGTAAAAGCATTTTTAGCAGGGAAGGCTGAGRAATAAGCAAGTAATTTTTGCCACTATTTAGCCTTAGAAATCATTCATAGCCTCTGCCTATGGTTTCTGCAAATTCACAGGATTATTAAATCAACAGATTTCAGGGACAGTCCTCTGATTGTTTTCTCTTTACAGACACAAATCTCTCCTAAGTCCACACATARAACTTCCATGGACAGCAGTTGTTTTGTTCTGTCTAGCCAGGTTTGCTGTGTCTTAATAACACATGTAAGAAGATAATGTACCAAGAGTATGAGGAACAGTGAACACAACTCATGTAATTGCATCATTAATTGCTTCCCCTGTTGTTTTYAACATCAGCTTTTAATTCTCATAAGGATATTATTCCTTGTTCCAAGTTCTTACATCAAAGAAATAAAATATCCATGAAATTGTCAGTTCCATGTGGAGAATGTATTTTTAGAAAGTCCCCCTTTAACTGTTTGCCCTTCCAAGGCTTTGCTTACTTGGGCAGAGCACTGGAGCTGAAATGYTGCATAAAGCAGAGGAGTCTTCCTCAGCTTAAGGAGCAATTATCATTAAAGAAGAGCAGAGCCGAGGTCACTGCAGGTCAGCAAGACCCAGTTCCCCTCTTGCCCGCTGATGCAACCCTTTGGCCACTGTTCCTCATCCTGTGCTTCAAAGCAGACATGCAAGCTCATGGCAGGGGAGAACAGAGCTTTTACAGGCACAAAATGTTCATATCTGTCCGCAATTGCCTTGCAGGGTCTGGCTTACCTTTGGAGCCAAGGTGTCCATATGGAGCACGGGCTGAGAGGACATGGGTTTCTGGGGTGTCTGGTACTGTTCTCTCGACAAACCCAGTGAGAGGACATGGGTGTCTSTTCTCTCTSCARTTATTCAGGGCCTTTTCCAATCCTYTTCCAACTGACCSTAATACAAGTGTTACTGAGAAATAATTACATAGCAGTCACACTGAAGAATTCTCAAAACAAGAGAGATTCAGTCAGTCAAGGTGTTTTAATCTTTCAAAMTCTCTATGGGATCCTGCTATCTGATGAGACAAATTTTAGAAATTACTGTTATCCCGAAACAGATAATTAAAGCCCACAGGATCTTATTTRTAAATGAATTAAGTAAAATGAACTTTTCATTTGAAAAATCTACAGCTCTGTAGTTAATTGTTCTGAAGTGACCTCTCTCTCCTTTCATGACTCACGGGTCACTGAAGATCATTTGATTTGAAATGTGTCCTACAGAGCTGTCTGTCTTGGCAAAAAACAAATTAAAGTCAACAAGAGTTAGCAAGCTGAGTATTTACACTGATAGCAGTCCATTTAATAGTATGTAACCTTTCTATTATTTAATTCTAAGGTTATTAGGAGGCAAATCCTCCATATGCTGACTGGGGATAGTTATGATCAAATCTCCTCTGTGTGTTCTTTAACTGTGTGGCCCTGGTGGTGTAAATGAGAGGACATCACAGAACCATAGAACCATAGAATAGTTTGGGTTGGAAGGGACATTTACARGTCATCCAGTCCAATCCCCTGCAAAAAGCAGGAGAATCAGATCTTGGTCCTATTTTCAGCTTGCTGACATGCAGCTGTAACACTCTGTGCAGTTCATAAATGGCAAATGCCTGTTTATGCTGCCACAGCTGTCAGTTTAGACCAAGATGATGAACAACTTTTGAAGCATGCTAGCATCAGCTAGCATTAGCTAGCATCAGCTAAGCTATAGTTATCACTAAAATGTACTTCATGCTTTCAGAAAAATTATTTCATTACTTCTCTTTTTGCTTCCTCTTTTATCAGAAACTTGCAGAAGAGGTCTCATAATGTAAATACCTGTTTATTCTGATATTCCTACAGTAAAATACAAAGACCACTGAAGAAGGGCTTGAAAATCTGTTCAAAACCTCTGCTGAAAGTTGAAGAGTGGCTGTCTGAATTTAGTGGCAGCTCTGTTACAACAGCTGTGGCCAGCATGGTTTCAGAATTGTCAGACTGTCTTGTTTTTTGACATGGTGTCGTGTTTCATTAGTMAGGTCTCCATGTCGTATCCAAGACCTCCATGATCAGTAAAGATTTCCTATATCCTGAAAAAACTGTGAGTGAAACATTTTCACTGCCTAAATTGAATCTGCTCAGCCAAAATGCCTCCTTCTGATGGATTATGAAGCACTTGGTCTCAGCCGGCTGTACCTTGCTCCTAATCCCTAAATCATTGTTCAGGGGCATCTGACTAGCCTGATGCCCACCTCATCTTGGTCCAAGAAAATCTGGGCATTTAAACTCCCTTGTGTGCCTAATCCATGGTATGTTTATGTATCCCTCAAGAGGTATCCTTCACTCTTACCCACCCTTTACAGGACAACCACAAGTTTAGAGCTGTCCCTTGGGGTGAGGGAGAGACTGAACTCATTAATCTCATCTTCCTCAGTGACTGCAACCCTGTGTTAAAATTGGATCTCTTCTCAACTGAGAGAGCATTTTATYTGTAAGGGCACTGTCAGGGACTCCTGCAAATCATCCTGTTGAAACTGTTACTATTTGTTTTAGAAAAAAAACACACTACAAATTCCCTGACAAAAATGCTTGCGTTATCCTAATGGTTAAGGAGTTCATGTGAGGGCTGAGGTCTTTGCTTCTCTTCTGCCCATGTCTCTTTATGCATTTTAAATAGTAGGTGTATAATATAATACTAACAGAACTCACAGCAGAGGCTTCCTGCTTTCTACCAGCTTGGATCTGCCAGGTATATTTCTAACTGCTTTTATGGTCTTTATTATTATGGGGTTTTTTTCTCCCGTCTTATAAAAGTACTGCTTTTAGGAGAGGCAGCAAAAAGAATTGCCCTGCTATAACCTTATGGTGYTTGTGACCCTGGCAAGGCAGGTAAGTATCGATTGCTGAAGTATTTGATTACATTAGCTAAGGCATAGTGCCACAGACTTTGTACTCTTTCTTTTCTCCCCTCACTTGCGTCTGTGTAACAGGGGTTTACCTGAGGTTAGAAAATTAGCAGGTATGGAAGCTAATCAAAATACTTGTATATAGCCCANAGAAATCCACATCCAAACTATTCCAGCTGATCATCTGCATGTCTTTTGTCACAAAGTGGAAGCATACTTAGGGGCTTATAGTGGGTCTTTTCATCTGCATAACATGAGGTCAGTATGAAAAAGAAGAGACCCTTGATGAGTKCTGTATCCTCAGGATACAGGAGCCCAGAATGGAGCAGAAAGGGCTGGTTGCCTCTGCTGTTGACACTGAACATCAATCCACAGTTATGGGTCCGGCCATCCATGGAGAACTGCTACCCCAGCGACAGGGGAGGGGCAGCAGGCTGAGTGCTGAAGACCATGGTCCGGCAGGAGTTTGGGCAGGAGCACTTGAGCCAMCCTTGCAGGACACTGTCTGGTGACAGTTCTGGTTTCCGCTGATTTATGATGATTCTGCAGTTCAGCCTCTCCACAATGTTCAGAAATTGACTTTAATCTGTGGGGTGAATCCTCTGAGGTTGTTACCTTTCCCTGAGTTCTCTACTGTTGGTATTCCCTGGTGTGTGAGCCAGCTCAGGCAGGACACAGGAACAACCACAATACCGTGGATGAAATGCAGAGAAAATTTGGTTTGTTAAAATCAAAGCATGAGTTTTCTAGATTTTACCCATCTGATTCTCCCTGATCCTTTTGCTGGGGGAGGGAGTGACTGGCTGTTTGTTGCTTGGTTGGCTTTAAATTGTAGTGCTAATGGTTGGGGGATCCTCAAAGCAGAGCCCAGGTTTAGGCAMAGGGATGGAGGAACCACAGAGCTCTGTCAGTGCTGGAGGATCACCAAACCTTCTCTTTTCCCCTTTATATCAGGAATTCATGCAGGGGGAGTTTACCACTGTTTGAKTGTAGGAATCTCAGCCATGCTCATCAGGATGCCTCCAGATCTATCACCACCCTGTGTGACCTAAACACGGGTGTTGTCCAGCACAGGAGGCTAAACAATGATTGGTACGATGTGCATGGGTTTTGACACCCCAGATTGCAAGCCGTTTGAGCATTTTCACAATCCTCCCCACCAAYCTTCCAGTATTTTCCCACATTTGGGAAGCTAAAAGTTAGATCAGTTTGAGGAGCTACCAAATACTTCAATTTATCATAGMCCAGAGGAACTGACAAAAACCCATTAAACCACAGTCAGAAAGGTCTGAAGCAGTCAGTTTGATGGAGACAACAGGATGCAAAAGAAATCTTAATTTTTGAAGCAACTTGGAATTGGTTTAGCAGTTGTCTTATCTCTTTTCTGCTGTTGTAATTCAGTGTTGAATTTCTTTTCATCGAGGACGTGTATTTTGCTTAAAACATWGCATAGCCTTGCTGCCCTAAAAACTTGTTTCAAGCAAGATTTATTTAAGAAAGAAGGAGTAGGTACTCTAATGATAGTAACATGTGCCAGGGCACATGTAATTACAATCATGTCAGGCTTGCATTGACTCTCCAAATCAGCTTACATTGGATATGAAATAATTTATATAAATAATACAAAATATAATTGATAGAAGTATGAAAACAAGCTGTATTGCTAACTAGCCTCACCAAGAGAACCAAAGTAATAATTCAAACTCTCTTGCATTCTACATAATGGTTTAATATTAYACATAGTGCAAATGGCAAGAAATCSGTGTTCTCTTTTCTCCTTTGAAAATGCAAAAAGATTAAATAGCAAAGACAACACASAATGAATAATCTTTTTTTATTAACCTTTGAATATTTAGCCCAGTGGATAGTGAGAGGCAAAAAGAATAGGCAATTTAAAGCAGTTCTAGAACTCAATCCAAAATCCCTTGTTTAGGAAGAGCTCTATCACCTACACTGGATWCCTTGCCTGAATGTGAAATTTGAAAACATCTAATTATCCTGTATCTCATCTTCTGTCATGAGGCTTACTTTTGGGTCAAGGTCAAAAGGTCAGACCATAAGTCCTTAGAAAAACACAAGATAACAATGTTTTAAGTCCATTTGTTCTTTTCATCAGCAGATGATAAGAACACTCTCTCTTTCAGCCCAAAGATGTTGCATTATAAAGTGGACTTTTGTGACACACGAACATTTTTCATTTGCAGTAAATAAGGATAAGGATGTTAGACAGAACTGAATTATATTAACCCTGAAACAATTGTTCTTTTGGGCATGGCACCACTAAAAATTAAATGTGTGGGCATACTGCTACCTGTAGTAACTTTAATGGAATTAGACTAGGAAGATCTAAGGATGCTTATGGAATTACMGAGTTTAGGTAATGAGGCTAAAACCAGACAGAACCACTGATTAATATATGACAGATATTTATTTACCTCCATATTGGTATTTGAGTTGGCTAGTTTAAAACTGGTTTTGGTGGCTTTGGATGAGTGCATAAATCTTTGATAATGTCAAGACATTAAAACAGCAGTCTAGAGACACAATTGGTTCAGCCAATATAATTTATTTTAACACAGTTAGCAGTTTCTGAAAATAAGTACAATGAATATAATACAAGTTTTGCAGTTTCACTTTAACGTGAACATTCTTGTAGGTATTTTTCAAGTYTTCTAGTTTTCCATAAAACCATAAAGGTACTTCCCCAGAAATTCTCCCCTCCCCACTGTGAATCTGCTTTTATACAACAAAAACTTTATTTCACCTGTGGGGAGAACCCCCCTCCCCTGCAAACATTTTAATTATGAGAAGAAATACATTTTAACCCTAGTTCAATTTTGAAACGATTATGAATTAGCTGATGAAATTCTAACTGTGGGAAAGTATTTGCTGACAGAGAAAACCTGCTGCTGTCCACATTAAATTGAAAATCTTAACTTGCCTTTCAAAATGGCTGCTRAAAAGGGAGATATTTGCATGAAAACAGTGCATTAAACCCACTGCCTGCTGGTACCACATTGGTGCACATTTTTCATTAAAAGGGTGAATTAGCATCTTCATATAGATTTTCCCCCAAGACTTGAAGCATTTCATTTGCATATATACATAAAATGTATATAAAGTATATGTTATACAGTGTATTTAGTACTATTAGTATATACAGTGTATTTATGTACTATTAGTACATAGTCTGTATGCATAATACAAAATACATATTCATAAGCRTTTCAGCCTGTACCTGAAATCAATGTCATTGGATGGCTGCAAAATACCCAATCCTGCACGGGATTGATCTAGAGAGGGACATTTCACATCATTGTCCACAAGCTCTATCTCAAAATATGAAAACATCAGAGCCAAAAATTGTTTAATCTCATGGACAGCAAACAGCCTGCCAGGGCACTTTGCTATGCCTGTCCCAAAAGGCATGTAGTAATGCTTCAGCTTCCGACCGTTCCGGTAGAAATCAGTCTTCTCCTCTCCGTTCTCGTTCAGAAAGCGATCGTATTTGAATGTCTGCAATTAAACACACAGAGTTCCTTGAGATCTGAATAYCTCCAAAGATCAGATAAAGCTGCTAAGACACAAAAGGCAGGCTGGGAAAGAGATGTCTCTAGCAATAAGCATTACAGTAGCACCAGGCCCCATGGTGCTGTTTTAGAAAGAGAAGCCTCTGAGAAGTTCTGTTATGTTGGACATGATCCCAGGTTCTTTGCTGATAACTCTCCTTTTCGTTCCTGATCTCTAAAAGTAAGGTTTATAACCTGCCTCCTTGATCATGCAGCAGAGGAGTTGGAAGAATTCTAATTCTGTGCCTTTGGGAAACTATTGTCATCCTTGTTCGAAGATCCCCATAATGTTGGCCTTTCCTCAYTGAGGAAGGCAGTGAGTGAAGGCTGTCTGGGGCTGGTAGCACAATTTTTCGTTACACTAAAACATTTTGCAGAGAGTGCTTGCACTGACTTCATTCTTTTCCTTGTCTATCATTACACCTTCAGGTGTAAGAACAGACTGTCTGGGGTATAACAGAAAACCAGCTGTGGTGCACCCCAAAAAATGCTTTATCTAGAGGACTGTTAACTTCTCCCAGAGTGCCAAGTTTAATGCAATTTGAAACAAATGCTTACCAAGGGATCTGTGTAGATTTCTGGATCAAAATGCAGCAGCTGAGGATAAAGAGCTACAATATCATCCTTGCGAATGTTGTAAAAATCATTCTCTAAGTGCAAAGTGAAATCCTCCTTGGCCACTCGGAAAGTCATGGATGCACTTGAGAGCCTCATCGCCTCCTTGATGACACTGTCTGTTGGGAGAAGACAAGGAATGATTGCCATGGGAACAGCATATTCCCATCCTGGGGGCAGGTCATGCATATTGAAYTATCTCAGACYCATTRTCAAACCATGAATTTATTAGAARAAATRCTTTAATATTAGCTTTCRAARTGCCTAAGAAAGTATCTTTCTAATTTCTCTTTAAAATTTYTATCCCTTCTGCAGATACCACTGAGAAGCTAATCTGCTCTCCYCACTGAAAAATGCTTATAGTTGATGAAACAGAATGTTGAAAGTGAGACACATTGTTACTCTGAGATAAAGACCAAGCCAGTGAAAACTGAAAATATAACAAGAAAAAGAAACAGCACAGTGAGCTGAATTTTCTGACGCTTTAAAGAGATCCTGACTATAGAGACCCATACTCAGAAAAAAGGTTATGTGGGGTTTTTTTTTTTTGTTTCAATATAAGTTGACTTTGCTTTTTTTAAGTAGCAGTAGTTAAAAGACAGCTTTTTCTCTGTAACTTCCAAGAAATGTGCTAATAATTTGGAAAATATTAAGAGGAAATAGAAGCAATGGTATTAGAAAATACTGCTTCACATGGTAAGAATTGGGATTTAAGTTTTGGCAATATMTTTTTATTTGATCTTAAGACATAACCAAGCAAAATATTGTTCAGAATTATCCATGGGTGTAGGTTATGTAGCTGTGTAGGATTAYTGAGACATGCCATTAGCCATGAAAAAGTGCTGTTCATGTGAATTTTAATACTCCCAGCACCATCTGGGTGGGACATTGGGAAGCCTGGTTGTGTTGGCTATTGCTAAGGAACATATAGCTTCCTGATCTACTGTTTCTTTTCTACTTCCAGAGGAATTCCATAGCAAGCACTTATATGATAATAAATAGAAGACCATGGAAATTGTAGTGGAATTTCTGCTACTCCTGCATAAAATAATCATACCTAGTATTGTCATGTTATCCAGCTGTTTTCGGTTCAAGGAAATATGTTTGCCATCTAAGCTGATACTCTCTTCGGCACTTTCCAAAATACTTTGCACTTCTTTGGTAGCAGCTCTCATTGCTTCTGGATTCCTAAGATCAAAAGAGAAAAGATATAATTTTAAACCAACAAATTCTTTACAAAGGGATTTTGCTATTAACTTTCTTCCTAAAATTTATTTTGTTGCCTGCCATGTACAACCTTCTGAAATGAAAATGTTGTAGAAAAATGCTGCAGTTCCACTTTTCATGCCTTGGCRAAGAAAGAAAAAGGAAAGGAACCCCAAGTACTTGATTTTGTCTCCAATGACAAATGGGACAGAATTGATGTGCCTAATTCAGGTAATAAAATGTCCTGTCACTAAAAAGCAATACCAAGAATAAGAAATAAAACAGCCRGTTGTAGATTAGGAAATAGCCCCACTGCAGGTAGAAAGTTTAGGAACAGGATTATAGATCAGTTTTATAACATCATTTATTCTGGCTGATGTGACAATATTCTGTCTAGCTGAAAACAATCTTCCTGATACTGAGAGCCCCCATAGTGCCCTTCACTGTCCAGCCTTCCTTTGAGACATGGAATATATGAGCTATGGTGCAATATATAGAGATAATAAAAGAGAGTGTTATAGTGTGTTGATGAAGGCATGATCACGGTTTTCAAACACTCCAAGTCCAGAAAATCTAAGGCCAATGCATTCTTGGAGCAAAAAGTACTAAATAACCTCCAAAATTAGCATTGGCAAGTAGATGTGAGGTTGATAAATAAAAAAAAATTAGGAATTTAGATACATACTTCAGAGTTAGTTATACTGAAGCAGACAATCCGCTAAGGCCCACTCTAAAATGCACATTTGATAGTTTTATCTGAACTGTGCACTTGTCTTATGAGTAACAAGCTCAGCAGGCACAGTCTACAATAGAGTAGGATCTATCAACATATAAACTATTTTCTATTAAGTATCTGTGAAAACAGTAATGAAGTTAAACCTCATTTTGCCTGCTCTAGTGAGATGATCTAAAAATGTCTAGTTACATTTGTAGCCTTTAATACAATTAATGTTTTGACTGGAACTAGCACTTTTAATGTCATATCATATAGATTTACTCCAAAGCTTTCTTGACAAAGTGTAGCATTGCCCTGGAGTGCTGTTTCTTAAAAAAAAAAAGCTTCTACAGAATTCCTCTGTGCTACCACTATTTGTTCTCAGATAARTGAAGGGCTTTTCTGTGGAAGTCCAGAAAAACATTTCACTTCTGTTGCTAACAGTAAGTTTTGTCACTGATGAGGTATCAAGCAGAGGAATCGGCCTGTATTAATGAACCGGTTTCTGAAAAATAAACATTTTTCTTTTTTGGGAGCAAGAAACGTTGGGACTTACTTAAGAAGGTAGAACAAGGTCCAAAAAGTGGCAGGAATGGTGTTTGCTTGAGAGGCCCAGAGCACTGCCACGTGTGTCTTTGCTTTTTCCATGTCATCGAAGGTGGACAGGGTGTCATTCAGGAACATGCGRAGGGTGACAAGCTCAGAGAGGTTGTCCCTTTTCAGGAGGTTCTTGTGCAGGAGTGCCTCTCCCAGCTTCTCACGTGCACTGTGGGCACTCTTGAAGAGGTGGATAGGCAGCCCTGCCACGAGGGCTGGGAAAATCTTGTCAAATTCCTTGAAGTTTTCAAGGGCATTTAAGATATGAGCTCTCTCAGTTTCCTGCTTTGATGATAGGTTTTTATTATTATTTGAATTAAATTCTTTRCCAAAAAGTGTTAAAAAGCCAGACTCGAACATCACTTGGCAACAGAACGTATAAAGTCCTTCTGTCACCCAGGAATTAGACTGAAGCTTAGGTGTTCTTGACTGCAGCATGACATATTGTAGGTTTTCCATCATTGCTTCAATRAGGGCATCTAGGGCATTGCCTTGAAGGGTTCTAATGAAAGTCTGATGAAAATTTTCAGTGGTGTTTCCCTCTGCTGGGTCAATGCTACCATGCCCAAAAGCCTGTCACAAAATAAATTGTATGCATGATAAGTAAGGCCTGTCATAACCTTGATGATGAAGCCTAAGAGAAATGAAAGCCAAAGTAAAACTTCATMGCTTAAGGGAGGATAATAATGTAATAAAATTATGTAGTCTTAGAATAATGTATAGTCTTAGAAGAATCCAAATCACTGCAAATTTTCTTTCCATTAACGAGGAGGGGAAAAAAAAGATCACCATGTTTTAAGCCAGTAAAAGTGCAGAAATGTGAAAACAATCCTATTTCAAAGGAATAATTATGTTTATAGGCATTAACTAGATATGTCAGCAGATACTTTGCACATTAGATATTAAAACCAGCGGTACCTTGGCTGAAGTAGCAAAATGGAACTTTTTCCAGTCCAAGTGTTTTCCCTGGCGCATCAATGCATGGTAGGAAAAAGGGTCAGTGAGGAAATGAATGTATTTCCCTGCTACATGGCAAGTGAAGATGTGGCCATGCTTCTTCTGCTTTTCTCTGAGGAATTCCAGGGGATTGGCACCAAACTTCAAGGCACARCCCAGGTATGGAAGGAACCCATTTTCAAGTGGTGGCTCACCTTGCCGCCTACGAAACACAAACAAAAGCTGAATTTAAAATTATGAATAAAGATCACTTCTCCAGGACAACCAGGTATGCAAAACACTAATGCTAGGCTTTGTGTAACGTGGAAAAAAAAAAAAAAAAAAGAAAAAAAAATCCCAAATAAATAAGCTATTTACAAATAATTTTCTCCCCTTTTATTAATAGACATATTAAAACACAGTTTGATTGTCATCTTTTTTTCCCCTGGATCAGAAGCATATTTTTCACCTGTTCAAATGCAAARTTATTGCCATTAGCTAACATGCTGTTATGCACTGTTCACATTAATAAATAATACATCACACTAAYATTGTCTGATACAATTAGGCAAGTGTATCTACAATTTCATTTGAATACCAAGCAAAAAAACTTTCTAGTATAGAAATGTTGTTATTATTGGCATATCCCATTAATGGACCAGATCTTTTTAAAAATATGTGAATTTTGCTATAATCCTCAGTAAGTATAAGAGTTAGTTTTTCAGACAAAATGTCATGAAGGACATCATGACTGCTAAAGTAACTTTCATATAATACTTCAGTTTTTCCAGTAAATTAATTCTTTTCAATTATTTCATTTTAAAATTAAAYTTTAAAAAATATAACAAAAAATGACTGCTGAAAATACAGAATAAGAATAGCCAAGTAAATTAGTTGTTCTTTATGTAAATGTGCCAGTAGGATAAATGTTTTTATGGAATATATATTCCAAAGAGCAAGGTACATAAATATTACCTGCATTAAACCTATTACTAGATATAAGATAATATGAAAATGGTTGTAAGTAGGTGTTAAACTACAATTAGATATAAGTAGGTATTAACTGTAATTACAATACAGGTGAAACTATAGCCCAGAACTTTGGGAAATCAGAACATACATATTAATATTTTAATTACCTCACTTATGCATAGATTTGTATCAACAGCTACCTCTAGGCATCACTATTCATACACAAAAAGTTTATACACAAAAATTCTATTGGAACATAAATCTCTCAAAAGAGCAAACTACAGCACTGTCTGTGCTATCCTACACATGTCCATCTGACAGTCTTAATACTACAGATTTTAGTGATGTGCACAGGATATTTGACACAAATAAAGGTTAGGCACACTGAGATGTTTTTACAAATAGGAGGTCCCTTACCTTCTCCTCCTCCCTAGAAGAAACCAAGACACACAACAAAGTATTACTGCCGTTCCCCAGATCCAGGATGCTAGGAACATTTCTGGTAATGCCMCAAAACTTCCAAGTGGAAAATGGGTAACTACCAGGATGGCAGGAGAGGTGACTGAGAATGAAACAGAAGACAGGTCACAACTTATATACAGTGGTCACACCACTGTATCCAATGGCATTCAGTCAACCAAGCAAGCTACTGATTAACCATTTCTGGAGAGAGCTGGTCTCTCTCTGTTCTGGTACCTTTGTGCAGAGAGCTTCGCTGGATTGATGCACAGTTGCAGACCCGGCCTTGAGCTTATGTCACGTAGCAGCAGCAGTTCCAAAGTAACCAAAAAGCTGTAATAGTAGATAATCTGAAGGTTAGCCAGGTGTATTTTGATTGATCCTGCAAATTTACCAATTGCAGTTTATAGTTCAAGTTTAGCAATACATGAAATGGCTACTGACCAGCGTCCAGGAGATGCAGACTGCACTAACTGGTGGCTGCAGTCCGTGCTGTCCTCCAGCTGCCAGCCTGTTCCCCTCCCTTCTCCTTATGGACTGCCCTGGCTCTGGTGTGCCACTGCAAGAGGGAGCAGCGGGGTTCAGCAGCTGGCCAAAGGGATGGCTGCGGAGGTGGACTTACTTCCTCTAACAACATTTGTCTGGAAGAAAGGGAAAAAATGGCCTTTCACAGAATCATAAAATGAATCATACAAGAAAGAGAAGGAAGTAGATCTAGACAACCACACTGGTTTGGGTTTTTTTCATTGTCCTTGGGTCACCTTTTATTTTCCCATTAAACCTTTTCTCCTTTCTGTTGTCATCTTGTGACAACTCAAACTTTGGCTTGCTCCTAGACCTGCTATCAAGCCATTGAAGAGGCAGCTCAGGTATAGTGATGTTTCATTAGTCAACCAAGGCCTAACACTTTTCTARGAGAGGAACTGAAAGGTTTTTCAGGCTCACTTTTGTACCAGTTTTTCTTGGTGTCCCTACAGYTGTATGATAAAACAGCAAAGACTTGGATGTCTTGCTGTTGCAATTGAACACTACACTGAAGGCACTGACATGCAAATCTGGCAGGTGGGAATATTGGCTTCAAACCAGGGCAGGCAGTGAGGCATGGAGCAACTGTGCACATGCCATTACATTTAAGGCAATTTTGAAGTTACTTTACTGAAGAAAAAAACTCTATTTACGGCATAAAGGTTTGCCTTTACTAATTCTAAAAGTCAACTCCTTTCACGTGTCAACTCCAATCCCCTATTCCATTTTCATTTAAGCAGAGCTGTTTCATTTTTTTTCCCATAAAAAAAATCTTTTTCAATAGCTAAATGTAGCTTTTTATTATATAATTGCTTTATAAAATCCTTGCTATCCTATTTCCTGCTTGTTTGCATCAAGTAAAATTTCAGTTCTGGATGTCATCTTTGACTTCATCCTATGGCTTCTTCATCCTAAATAAGAATAATTATTTTATTATATTGGTCTAATTATTTTTGCATTGTTGTCCAAATAAAGTCAGAAGTTGCTAACAGTTTTGTGTCCAACACACAGGGATGACATTCAACCAGCAACAGTCACCTGTGTCTCCTCCCATAGCTTGTGTTGCCAGGCACACTTGCCTTTTCCATCCATGCTTTGGGATGTTGTGCTGCAATGTGATGATAATATAATTCAAAAAAGGCATACTGCCTCCAGCAAACAGCAGCAGTAACCTCTCCAAAGCTGCCCACCTTCTTTCACTTTCTGCTTTGCATATATGTAATAGTACTAAAAGTATAAGCAGGTGTAGGCAGAGCACAGGACCTGCTTGGCAACTTACCTTAAACAATTGCTTTTTCTCCCAGGAAAGTCTGAAATAGGCCAATCTACAGCTCCAAAGCCAGCCTGTACTATAACAGGCTGCAGCCTGTGACTAACATCCTTGTGACAAAGGCAAGCAGGAGTCTTGCCTACCACAGATACTCCACCAAATTTATCAGATGGTAAGTGTGAACCTCCTTCCATTTATGTGAGTGGGCATCAGGCCTGGTTTTTCAGCAGCACCAGYAGAGCGCCCTGATGTTCTGGGTGTGGTATTTTGATGTTCTTCAGACAAATACACCATTTCCCACCACCAAAGCTCAGGCAGCCGCCACCAGTCTGTACAGCCAAGATTGAAATCATCACGAGGTCCCACTGATTGACAGATATTACATTTTCTGCAGCACATTGAACATTGTGTATGAGCTTGGGTCTCTTGCCCCAGCCCAACAGGGTGACCCACAGGATTTATGAGTGCAGTCAGAAAAAACATACTGGGCTGTTTTGCCTTGGCTTCGTGAAGCAAACTCCTTCCTTGTGTAAATGATAAGAAGAATATAAATGCGAAAAATTAACAGGACTTGGGCTAAGACTCAACTCAGGCCAGTGACGCCACCAGGAATAAAGCACTGTTTGAATGCACGGGCCTTTGTCACTGCAGGTTTGAACATGGGTGTTCATCAATAACACGGCAATGAATCAAATAGGAGGTAGAAACTACAAAACCTTTTTAGAACTGTAATTTGGCATTTTGTTTAAAYCCTAGTGTGTACTGAGCTAGAGCCAGTTGAGAAAGAGCAGCTCAAGAGCACGTGGATGCAGGCAAGAGAGCGCGCTGACACTTTACCCAGTCTGATCTCAGCTCAGCCGTGCCCTCACAAGGTCTGCTCGTGTCTTCAGGGCCAGGAATTGTGTTGAGACTGATGCAYAGTTACATTGCACCACTTTCCCCCAAACAGCACCACGACACTTTTCACCCAGATACACCCACTGGCTGTGGGCAGAGGCTGCCAGGAGCACTCTTATCTGTCACCTCTGCTCCAGCCAGTGAAGCAAGTTGGGCTGTGGCCTCCATGGAGCCAATTCTCTTCCCATAAAACAAACAGGCCCAGCTCARTTCTGTGGTGACTCCTGAAGCCTAAGAGAAACCTTAAGGCTCATTTCCTCCWGCTGCTCCAAAACAGCTCACTAACTATCCAAACCTGAGCTTCATCTCATATGCTGTAGCTATATGGCTTTCATTAGTGACAACGCACACATGGTATTTCAATTAATAGAAAATAACAGGTAGACCAAGCTGAGGGGAATAATTTTTTTCTAGATTTACTGAGGGCTTCATAACTGGGGARCACTGGTGTGAAGAAGGGTGTGATGGACGTAGGAGAGGCTGCTGATTACATTTGGCAGTAAACAGCAGGTTTCCACACAGCTAACTAGAATACTCGTTTATTCACTGGAAGTAAATAAGACGTACGCTCTACAAAGAAAGGATAGACTTTGTTTTTTTCATGCATGTGTTGCAAGAACTGGGTTATTTTCTTTCATCAACAGATAAAAAAACTCTGAAACCACACAAACCGAGCATTTTGCTCAGCAGTAGGGAGGCAGCCCTGCAGTTGATGGAACAGGAGCAGGCTTACATGACATGCTATAGCCAGAAGATGCAATTGCAGCTATGAAACAGTTCTGCAGCTGTGAAACAGGCAAAAGGGATCTCAAAAAGGCAGAGCAATATGAAAGGAAAGCTTTTGCCCAGAGAAGCTGCTTGTAACCTCTCTGCAGCCAGAATATAGCTAATAAATAATTCTATGTCACCACCTACTGGTAAACCTCCTTGTGTGGCACTTGTGTGTTGTGTTCTACAGCAGCCACTGAATTCGGTGAGTCCAGATTTATTTCTTCTTTCTATACAACCAAAATWGTATTTCTTACATGTGCCTATGTATTTTACTTTGTATTTACATTAAGTATCACTTTTAGGAAGGCAGGCAGATATGCTGGGTAGGATCACTGAGGTTTCTGAGGGCCAAGCGGAAAACCTGGCTTTTCTGGGGTCACCGAAAATATCCAAGAGAACAAGAATTAAGGCTTTACTCCTCACCAGCCCCAAGAAACATCTATTTTAGAGAGGAATGATGGCTGTTATCACACAGGATCCTGTACTGTGGGGACAATCTGGAAACTGAAGGTCCTTGCGCAGCATCAGTGTTGACTTGGCACAGCCATCACATATCTGCAAACTAAAAGGCATCAGCAGTGCTCCAGGCACAGGGAAGAGAACACTGACTGCCGTGTCCCCTCACAACAACAGACCTGACACCCCGTGGCACAACATGACACAACATTGCCCAGCCTGCCTTCATAAACCAGCAGCTGTTATCAAGTGATCATGCCAGAAATGTATCTTCCCCAGAGAGACTGTAATTCCAAAATAAATCCAACAGATCCCTGGCTGGATTCACCTTTTCCCTGGTTTTCCTGGGTGAGTGTAATAGGTGGAAGTCTTCTATACCTAAATTATAATAGAGCACCTAAAAGAATATGAGYGAAATTATTTTAAAGATCCTGTAAAGAATAATGCCATAGTTGAATTATTTAATGATCTACACAATCTAAAATAAACTCATGCTACCACAGYATCACCCCACAGCTCTATTTTAGCAACCCTCATGGTTGTTGAAAGGGCGGATTTTGCCTACATTATACTCTGCCTTCTGCAGAATTTGTGAGTCATCTGACTCCAGGAAAATAGTGTGATCATATTTCCTTAAAAAATAATTTCAAGACACCCATCATCATCATCATCATCATCATCATCATCATCATCATCATCATCATCATCATTAATCTTTTTTTCTGTAGATTGTATGTAGATTGTAGAGGTACAACACTTTTATAATCTGATATCATTGTGATATATTTGACCCTGTCTTTTTTTCATGATGAAGTGCTCTGAATAGACAATGCCTTGTATTTACATTAGGATAATCAACACTGATGGGCTATAAAATTGGACAGGCTTGGGAACTGTGTTTATTTGTATCCTGTTTCAGGACAATAGCCCCATAGCATTTAAATAATAGTAGGAACAGATATTTCCTCTAATGACCAAGTTAATGTTTCCACATTTATCTCAGAGTATCCTCTAAATGTACTTATATATCAGATCATGTACTTAATTTACTTGCACCATATCAGTTAATTTTCTCTCTGAGACTTGCTTTGTTCTTTAGGAACGTCAACTGAAAGTTTGGTAACATTCTTATCAAACCTGGGATTTTAATGGCCACTATTCTCCCTTTAATATCAAGCATTAGAAAGTAAACCTCAATCAGAAATACCATCCTTTACTAGAAGGAAAATATTTTAATAATATGCTGTATTCCATCATGACCAGTTTGCTTAAAACTGTAGGAAAGGGAACTATTAAACCTATGATTAAAGTAACAGTTGAGAATATTGTGATTTMTGAAAGTTAATTTTTCTAAGTATTGCAGAAGATAAACTGTAAAGAGAGCAATTATGCAAGTGAAGACAAAAGAGAACTGATATGGAAAYCCAAGCAGATAAAGGAAATAGCTGTAAAATGAACCAGGAGGAGTTATTACCACTCACCCAGTACAGCAAACTGCATCTTCTTAAAACAATTAAAAAACCCCAAAACTCTGGAGTTGAATTGCATCGTATCATTTAATAATAAAACAGAACCTTCTRTATTATCCTATCACACCTAAACATGCAATGGCAGGTGCTYAAAACACTGAGCAGGGAGAAATCAAATCTCAGATGTGATTACAATAATTATGTAGCTCACTACTACCAAATAATTRTTTGAAGAAAGGTAATTTAGTKAACAAGCCAGGAGAAGACTGCTGCAACTGTCAGGGTGAACACAACAGGTTGTTCTGGGCTGCTCCAGCAGATGGAGCATGGAACATAATGGCACCTTCACTTTGCTTACCTTTGCTTTTCTTCTGCTGATGCTTTCTCTCCGTCCCACCTTCGTTCTTTCCTTCCTTCCTKCCTGCCCGCCTGCCTTTCTRTGAGGATGGTGAGGCACTGGAAGAGGTTGCYCAGAGGAGCTGTGGACTCTCCATCCCTGGAAATGTTCAAGACCAGGGTGGATGGGGCTCTGAGTAACCCAGGGGAAGGTGTWCCTGTTCTTCCCATGGCAAGAGGGCTGGAACCAGATGTTCTTTAAGGTTCATTTCCTTTAAGGTTAATCCAAACCATTCTATGATTATACAATTCATTGCCTGAGTTAGGCAACCATTAAGTGCAGAACTTAATCCATGTCACCTCCTTCATCACACTCACAATTCACTTTACACCTGCAATTAGAAGCCACAGAGATTGAGGTGTTGAAAGGCCCTTATACATCCAAGTTGAAGTCAGCAGTAGCAAGTGGCTTGAGACAATAGGAGTGGATGTGTAGAGCTGAATGGTGCTGAAGACCTGATGTCCACTCTTCTTATTTTCACACTAGCTCTCTGGCCTAATGGGCTAAATGATCATCAGCAAAACAGGTTAAATGACCTCCTGTATTGCAAAAGTTCACATAAATCTAAAATTAAAAAATGTACTTTGGGAAGTCCAAGTCTGATTCACCAAATGCAAACCAAAGCATTGTAAGAGATGACTTTTGGAAAGTTTCCTTTGCAGCTCTGATCATAATAGGAGAAGGCACAGACTGGCTGGTCAGTTTGGAAAGCACTTGGGCAGGCAYGTAAGAAAATACTAAAAATAGCCAAAAATAGCCAGTGACACCTGTACCTATTCTGTCAGAAGGGTGTCATCTTTAGAACCACTCTGTTGTTGACAGCTATTTCCRTCTTCTCTGTTCAAGTGCTGGTCCTGCAGTCTGGATTTGTGCCACTTTGGCAAACCTCACATCAGGTTGCTGTGGGCTTGGCTTTGTGCTCCTTTTGTTCCTGAAGCGATTGTGATTGCAGGGACAACCTCTATTGCTCCAGTGTGAAAGGAAATCAAAAGTTCCACCACCTTACAGGCAAGATGTCATTCTGACTGGGAGCCAGCTTGGCACCTGTCGTCACAGTGGGGACTCTTTCTCTCAGCTAGGGCCACTGCAGATCTGGAGATAGACTGATGGTAGTTGGAAACCACCAGTGACTTCCCTTGATGGTGATTTCAGCAGCTATTAGGCCATTTGGGGACTGGAGAAGTCTCCAGAAGGTTGGGAAAATKGAGAAACTGGATTAACAATGCAGCTGGAGAGAACCCATGGCCCAAAAATGTTGGGGTTTATCACCACAGCTTTCCTTGGACAGTTTTTCTCTGGTTTCAGAATCTTTTTCCTTTTCCATTGGGTCTACACATGAACACAGGAATCATTCTCTGAGAGCATCCCTGGTGGATTTCTGAAAGCCTGTTGCCTAGGTAAAGAAAATTTTGCCAAGAATGGCTGTATATAAATATGCCTTTTAATGGAGATCTGAGCTTCACTGGACTGTGCAAAATGGTAAGAAAGTGAAGTGTGGAACACACAGTTATGCAACTGAGCCACATTTTATTATTCCAAGAGAAGATACATAGTCCTTATAACACTAGACTTACTTAAAATATTTCTTTTTCTTAAATCTGTATTCTACCTTTTTTTAAATACAGTATTTCTTGGATGATACAAGCCAAGAATAGAAGACTGAGTACCTTTCTACTTGGTAGCAGAAATCTGCCAGTCATCACTTTAATTCTTTTCTGTAATACAATCCTTCTCATGATCATACTTCTATGCAACCAAAGCTTTCTTTTTTCCTTTTTTTTTTTTTTTTTTTTTTTTTTTTTTTTTTTTTTTTTTTTTTTTTTTTTTTTTTTTTTTTTTTTGAGAAAGGGTACTCTGCCAGTGAACAATGTCTTCCCTGTGCAAAAGAAAGGAAAAATAAGGCATGGTGGTGTAATAAACATTATGTGAAACCAACTTCAAAGTGTGAGGCTGTTCAGCTGTCCAGATTAGATGAAAAAGAGATGAATATGGTCCATAACTGTCCAAAGCACAGCCCACTGGTTTTACATGTGAATCAGCCTTCTGGCTTGAAAAAAACTGAATTGCAACTGAATGCAAATGGCTAATTTGAAAAAAAAACAAAACAAAAAAAAACCAAAACCCAACTCTCTGTGCTCTGTTTAACAAGTAATATTAATTTTCCACTACCAGAATTGCTGTAATATTGTGTTTTACTTATTTCTTTCTATATGTTTTTATATTATTTTTACTTAAATAGGCAAAGATCAGAGATCTACCTCTTACAGCCTCGCTTTGCAGTTGAAAAGACAAACTACAACTAGAAAGAAAAATGAAAACAGAAAAACAAGAAGAACATGGTAATGTAGGAAGAAGAAACTGAAGGATGAGGGGTAGGTAGATGTTGCAAAGAACAGGAAGGTAAGGACAAAACAGAAGGTAAAAGACAAGCATTTAAACAGCTAGTAAGTTTACAAATGGGGACAATTTATTGCTTTTCTTAACAAACAGACAAACACTGGTTTGAATGTTAGTTATACAGCTTACGACTGATCTCATACGTTGAACAGGTTTGGTGTGGTCTGAAATGCACTGGCAGACTGCCAAAAACCACTCCTGAGCTACAGGAAGCATTTGACTTGCTGAGTCAGCGTGGAGGCAGCTCCCCAGAAAAGTAAGGGCACTGTGCCAACACCAACACATGCTTTGCATGAGCCATCTTCTGATTGCTCACAGCAATTCAAGTTCCCATGACAGTCTCCCCCAAAATTTTTGGCTCGGTCAAAAGACTTCCAGTGGTGACAAATATAAAAGGGAAATTCTAATTATAACTGTTCAGTGGTGGTAATTTCTGACTGAGGAATGATCTGGTGTGGAGGGCAAGGAGGGGTTAAACCATCTGAAAGCAGGAATGCCAGAAACAGAACAGACTCCTTCCAAGGAAGTGAAGTTTCCCTTGGCGATAAGAAACAGTGTCAGTTTTGTCTTGCAGCCATTCTGGAKTGAGGGTGCTCAGAGAGCCAAGCTCATGGCAAACTCTGGGCAGCAGAGCTGGKTGAGGGATGGATCCACAGATTCAGRTGCCCCATGCAAATACYCTTGGATCTYGGGYTGTGTGTCTGTTTGTGATGCATCTTTGCAGAWTCCATATTGTGATGGGACTCTGCCCAATGCATCCTTCATTAACTGTTTTTTTTTTGTATTTAAGCACAAGGGTGTGTTTAATTCACCTCGAGGTTACGATAACAATTCTCCAACAGATGCCACTAGTGAGCCTTGCTGGAGCAGCGGCTGTTGGCCTCAGCTCTCTTTTGCCTCTTCTGCCAGAGGTTACAGACACAGYAGCAGAGCAGAGTAACAGAAGTGTCCACCTCTGTCTCACCAYCCYAWCCCAGAGGCCAATGTCTGCTCAAATTTATCCTTGGTGGCATTTTAGGACAAACAGCCAGGCTCCCACTGAGCCATCAGAGCTCATGATTCCTCCTCCTGTCCTTGCCACAAGCAATTGTGCCTGGGACAGGTTGAATGGGGGTTTGAGAAATCTGGTAAAGAGGAGGGTGTCGCTSCCTATGGCAGGAGTTTGGAATGACATGACCTTTAAGGTCCCTTCCTACCCAAAGCCTATGATTCCATGATTCTRTGATTTTGAGGGCAGAAGGATCTGTCCTTTTGTCTGTTCATGCTTCATCTAGACCATGTAACAATCTAAATTAGAGCACAACCTCAGCTTGAACCAGAATGTACCTAATATGAATGTATAAAATGTTAGAGATCCCAGGAGAGAGGAGAAGACATTGAATCCCTGGGGAAATACTTAAATGGAAGAAATCACTGCTGCTGTGAAATATACACCTTGTTTCTGCTATGCATACCTAGTCTTTACAATATGAAAACAAAGAATATAGATTTTTAATATGTGAAACGTGTTCATCAGAGGTAGGAAAGAACTTTCTGGGTTACTTAAGTCCTTCCCAGTAAAACCTTGCTTGTGGATTAGGCACAGGAAGAGCACAGTCACTCCTCCTGCCTGCCTGCATAGAGCTCAAATCCACCTTTTCCTGGGCTCCCTTTCCTGTCTCTTGTCTCCTAGGATTGGCTCAGGATCATGAATGAAGGAGCCTGTTGTCTGCAGGCTGCCTGTCTTCTTTATCTGTTGCTAAGGCTGGAAGGTACGTAATGAACGAGGAGAGAGGAACATCTTATGGCTCACGCCCTGGACTGCGATGCTGCTCTCCCCTCCCAGTTATTTGTCTGCTCATCCCAGACAAATAACTCCTCTCTCCAGGCTCTCCACAAGCGGTTCCTGTGTTTTGCTCATTTTCTGTTTGCCCCTCAGAGGCTCTATGTCTAATCTGCAGAAGTGGTGGGCACATGCAACTGTGAGTGAAATCAGGAAGGTGGGGTTTAACAAAATATCTCCTGTATTCCCACAAACATTAGAACTGAGAGCTCAGAATAATGCATTATGAGCATATTCAACCTGAGGGCCTGGATTCCTTGACTGTATCCCAGGAATTAGGATAGAAAATAAATGAGCAACTGTTTGCACAGCACTCAGACGTTAGAGTGTTACTTAGAAAGGATGGTGACAGCATTAGTATTTCCATCTTTAGAGTGGAGTTTGAATAGCAGACAGGAAATCAGGCATGAAGCTGCCAACGGAACAGTGGAAAATCACTCACTGAGCTCCATCCACCCTGTGGGCTGAGGAGGGCACAGTGAAAGTAATATGTTATAATGCCCTTAAAAGGCAAGA